GGTTAAAATTTTACATTCTCCACTTCAGCAGCCTGGGGTTCACAAGTTCAGACCACAGGTGCATACTTATTCCACTCATCAGCCATGCTGTGGAGGCATCCCACATACAAAGTAGTGGAAGATTGTTGCAGATGTTAGCTCAGGGCTAATCTTCCTCAAGAAAAAAAAAAGAGGAGGATTGGCAACAGATGTTAGCTTAGGGAGAATCTTCCTCCCAAAAAAATAAAAAAAGAACCACGATATGATCCAGCATTGCCACTTCTGAGTAATTATCTGAAGAAAATGAAAACACTAACTCAAAAAGATATATGTACTCCCATTTCATTGCAGCATTATTTACAATATTCAAAATATGAAAACAACCTAAGGGTCCACTGATTGATGAATGGATAAAGAAAATGTGGTGTATACATACAATGGAATCTTATTCATTCATAAAAAAGAATGAAATCTGGCATTTGCAACAAGATGGATGGACCTTGAGGGCATTAAGCTAAGCCAAATAAGTCAGATAGAGAAAGACAAATATGGTATCATCTCACTTACATGTGGAATTAAAAGCAAACAGAAAAGCAAAAAACCAAGCTCACAGACACAGAGAACAGATTGGTGGTTGCCAGAGGCAGGGGGTGGGGAGCGGGAAAAATAAGTGAAGAGGATCAAAAGATACAAACTTCCAGTTATAAAATAAATAAGCCATGGGGGTGTAATGTACAGCACAGTGACTATAGTTAATAATACTGTATTGAATATTTGAAAGTTACTAAGAGAGTAGATCTTAAAAGGTCTCATCACAAGAAAAAAAATTTTGTAACTACGTTAGGTGATGGATATTAACTAGACTTATTGTGGTGATCATTTAGCAATGTACACAAATATCCAATCATTATTTTGTACACTTGAAACTAATATAATGTTATATGTCAATTATACCTTAATTGAAAAAAAAACTCAGGAAAAAAAATGGAATAAGCATCTTTCTCCATTTTAGTTCTGCAAGGCCTTTCAGAAATAGAGCCCAGTAGTTCTCCTGGCTTCATGTGAAAAAATAGGGAGTTTGGAAATAGAAACGAAGGTGTAACAGGGAGGCTCAAGAGACACATGGCCAAGTGAGGAAAACTGGGAACATAAACCAAAGGAAGGGACAAATAAAAAAAAACCCTACACCTGTCTGACAAAGTGACAGAGGCGGATCTGATGAAGATGAATCCCAAAAAATCACATTACCATAGGCCTCCATCAACAGATAGAACCAGAGAGAATCAGAGTGAGATAAAGAACACCAACAACTGGCCAATGAAGTAAGATACTCCCAACCTCCACTACTTTCCAACCTCCCATCCCCCCAACAAAGAAAATCAAAACCAAAAACAAAGTTCATCCAAAGTTCTCAAACTGTGTGTTGAGGTGTCACAGGTGCTTTGGCCACCTCACAGGGGTGCTATGGAATATTTTAAATATTTGCGGGAAACATGGCAATCCTAGATATCTGCCAGACACTACATGAAATATCAGCTTGAGATATTTCTCCATTTCAAAATTAGATCCTGTTAAATTCCTTTTGAGAATGTCCTATCTTTGCAAAGGTGGGTTTTGGGCTACTGCTCTGATAAAGAACAAGTGCCCCTTGAAAATTAGAGTGCAACAGGAAATGAAGTGGCACCTAGGGATGCTGTGAAAACATTATTGAGACAGTAAGGGCACCATGAGCTGAGAAAGTTTGGGAACCTCTGGACTATACCAAGAAAAGAAAACGAGAAAGGTGCAACTCAGAGCAGATCACACCCAACTCCACTCAAACACAGAATAGATGAAAGCAAATTCTATCTTCCTCCTCTCCATCTGGTAAAGCCTAATATGAGGGAAGTGTAAGAAGCGAGATCTTAATGGAGTTTGAGGTTGTCATTTCAAACCAAATTGGACTGTTAATAACTGAAAGTGATCAAGAAATTATGAAATCTGCCTAAGCTATTGTCAAGGGAAGGATAAGGCAGATTTAATTGCGTACAACTAAAAGCAATTAAGAGGAGAGAAAATAAAATTCTGTCATGTTATTATCCTACTGAGTTGCGATATCTCAATTATTGTAGATAAGGACAATTAACCTTATCTTGTTGGCCCATGCAGCAATTCTTGATGATAGGCGGCAGTAGTAAATACTAAAGTTAACCCATTCAAACATTCATTCATTGAACAGATATTTATATAATAACTACTATGTGCAAATCATTTTGCTAACCATAAAAAGACATAAGAAAAAGCCTGCAAAGGACAGCGTTTAAAGTAGCATGCCCTCTCTAATCACAGTTTATCCCTCTACCTGTCTCTATTTTTTCCCCAAAGCACTTATTACTCTCCAGAAGGAACTCATTTATTTACTTATCTACATGTTTCAGTCTGTCTTTGCTACTACAATGTGAGTACCAAGAGAGAATTATTTATTCCTCCTCTCCTTAATTTCTCAACATTGGCACACCCCATGGATCAATACTGGGCCCCCTTCTCTCTACCTACCCTTGCATATAATTATTATACGTGTTGATGCCATATATGTATCCATGGATACATATGTATCCAGTGTTGATGTTTGTCCAGAATTTCATATTTACGCATCCAACTGCCTACTTGAAACATGGAAACTGAATAGATACCTTAAATTTAATGTGTTCCTGCCTCCCTGTCCCTCCACCAGTCCTGAACCTAGCTACACTTTTGTCACTCTTCTCATGCTCATTAAATGGTATCATCATCCACCTAGATGGTGGACAGTTTGAGGCTCAAGCCAAAACCCCAGAGTTTACCCTTTTTTTTTTCTCTCCAAAGCCCCAGTACATAGTCCTATATGCTAATTGTACGTCCTTCTAGTTCTTCTATGTGAGCCACTGCCACAGCATGGCCACTGACAGATGAGTGGTGTGGTTCTGCACCTGGGAACCAAAGCTGGGCTGCCAAAGTGGAGTGTGCTGAATTTTATCCACTAGGCCATCAAGGCTGGCTCAGAATTTTCCCTTAATTACTCTTTTTCATCTGCAAGTCTACCAATTCTACTTCCAAAATACATCTTAATTCCAGCTCCTTCGCTCCATGTCTGCTTTCATCGAACTACTTCAAGCAGTGTTTTTGCCTAGGCTACTGCGGTAACTCAACTAGTCTTCTTGCTTCTAATCTATTTTTCACACCGCAACCAAAGAGAAACTTTCATATCCAAAATTTAATCATTATACATACATATACATACACACACACACATCCCTACTAAAAAAATCTGTCCAGTTTCCAATTGTTCTTCACATATCAAGACTCCACCAAAAAATCTGTAGGGCCCACATGAATCTCTACATACCCGACATTTTGGGGGGTTTTCCCCAAGTTTTTTCTAATGTCTGTCCCTCATCTGCTACCCAACCAATGCTCCATGAGAGCCAAATTTTGATGTATTGTTTAATGCTATGTCTTTATATCTAATCAAGCAGCAAAAGGAGCAGTAAGAAGCACCTTTGACCTTGAGACTGTAGCAGCTGCACCTAAAATAACACTTCTCTCTAGAATCCTCAAGACCCTCACTGTATGAAGTGAAGGAGACATTTCTGCTTCACTGTGTTCAGAAACTAGGCAGAATAGTGGATCAGAGTATAAAGCTCAGTCACACTAATAGCCTCAAATTCCAGTTCCGCCATTTACTAGCTGTGCGACTTAAACGTCTTTGTATATCAGTGTCCTCAATTGTACAATGGGGAGGCGTAGCTACCCTTTAGGGTTGTTGTCAGGATTAAATATGTGAAGATACAGTAGTCCCCCTTATTCGTGGGGGTTACGTTTCAAGACCCCCAGTGGATGCCTGAAACATCAGTACCAAACCCTGCACATATTATACCTTTTCCTTTACGTACATACTTATGATAAAAATTTATAAATTAGTCAAAGTAAGAGATTAACAAAAATTAATAAAAGAGAACAATAACATACTCTAATAAAATATAGATCTTAACACAGCGTATGATTTTTTTTCCTTATTGAGAATTTCATCTTTACACTTAAGTGAAGCACATTAGGCCTTCTCTTTGGCATATCCAAACTGCCAACATCACAACTCTTGCATTTTAGGGCCATTATTAAGTAAAATAATGGTTACTTGAACACAAGCATTGCGATACCACAGTCTATCTGATAACTGACACGGGCAGGTAGCGTATTAGATAAAATGATGATTCACCTCCCAGGCAGAATGGCAGATTTCATCATGATATTCAGAATGGCACCCAATTTCAAACTTACGAATTGTTTATTTCTGGAATTTTCCATTTAATATTTTTGGATGGGGGGGTAACTGAAATGGAGAAAGCAAAACAACCATGGACAACAGGCACTACTGTGCATATACACACATCCTCTGCCTAGGGGCTGTGAATTCTGTGAAATGAACCCCAGAGCCTATGAGGCTGTTATATGCAAATGAGTCAAGAAAACAAAACACTTTTTTGTCTCAACTTTTTGTTCCTTAAACTGAGTTGTCCACCTACCCGGACCCTTAGCTGAAGAAAGAACTTGCTATCTTTAGGCCTTACTATCCTCAGACTATAAATACACACCTCACATTCCTACACCAAGATCCCCTCCCCTCCTGTGCTTCGGGTGTATTTTCCCAAACACCAGGATCAGGAGCCCTGCCAGTGCAGCTCCACACTGCGCTTGCGCCAGCACAGACTCGCTCCTTCCACCCAACCCCCCCTCCCCGCCCATGCGTAGCAGTGACTCCTTCTGTCTGGGTTTACAGCCTCTTTCCTTCACGGCCTGAGATTCCTTCTTTGACAACTTTTTAAATCCTCACGCCTCTCTCGGGCGAATTTTTGCTCTTAACACCTTCAACAGCTACCTGGAATTTAAATCACTTTGCTTTCCCGTCACTGTAAAACCTCTCCCTGCTGTCTGAGGAACGGGTCTCTGAACAGGTGTCACTCCTCCGTGGCAAAGGTCTCGCGAGAAGCTGACTACTTTTCGCGGTATTTCTTTGTTAACCAGAATCCTTAGCGCGAGGCGGAAAAATACGGCTTTCTCTCAGCTTCCGTCGATTGCCGCATTTTATCTGCGGCTCTTTTTTCGGCTTTCCTGTTGCTGTTTCCGCGAGGGAGATGGCGGCCCCCGAGCAGCCGCTGCCGACGATGTCGAGAGGATGCCAGAGCTCTGCTTCGCTTTCTCCGCCGCGGGGCGACCGAACCCTTCTGGTGAGGCACCTGCCAGCAGAGCTGAGCGCGGAGGAGAAAGAGGACTTGCTGAAGTATTTCGGGGCACAGTCGGTGCGCGTCCTGTCCGATAAGGGGCGACTGGTAAGGGCGTGCCCAGTCCTCAGCCTCCCGGGAAGGCCCTTGGCTGGTGACCCAGGGAGGGGCAGGTCTGACAGAAGGAAGAAGACAGAAACGAGTAGGAAGAGGCCCTTCCCCATCTTTCCTCTTTCACATCTAAGTATCTTGCGTGCCAAGTCAAGTTTGAATTGGCTCGAGCCTAGGTTAGTCACAGGGCTGCGGAAAAGGGCAAGTGAGAAAGGCAAGGCAGGAGAGTGGAAAATAGCGTAAATTCCCTTTTGCGACTCATCCTGAGACTCTCAAAACTTGTCTGAAGTTGGGGGTATTTCTGTTAGAGTACTGTCAGAAATGTGTAATAAAGGCCTTTTTAAAGATCTTGGTTCATTTATAAGCCAGTGTTAAAACGTATCAAAATAGAGGAGAAACTACAATAGTAACTTGAGTAAACTAGTTACAGAATTTCAACTAGGTTTTTGACGAAGAAGTTCTTCGTAAAATTTTCCCTAAGGAATCTTTTAGGGAACAATATTACAGGAATGTAATTATTCGTTTTTATACCTGAAGGTGTTTTAGATAGATTTCTCTCCATTAAAATGGGGAGATGGTCTGTGATGGGGTAAAACATCAATGGATTCAAAGTCTCTCCCAGGTGACTGTAATATGCAGCCAGCGTTGAGAATTACTGAGTTAGAAGAAAGACCGATTTTGATAAAAGCTTCATGTATATCAGCAAATACAAATATTCATGTGATTCAGTTTAAGTACACTTAATTGGGTCGTCTTGGATCAGATAAGGAAAAAATTAGAATGTGTGATATGGTTACTCAAACAACTTACAAATACTTTAATAAGCACTGACAAGGACTCTTCCTTAGCATAATGATTCATGTACTTTTGACTTATGTTCCTTTTCTGATGGTTTAAAAGATATTTACAGGTTATATTTAAAAATGACTTCTCCTTTTGAACCCTTATTAAAAAGATAAAACACAAAGAAAACATACACTTAAGGAATGATTTTATATTAGGCACGTTTTTAAGCTTTGCATTTGGCCGGATAGAGGAAAATTTAGATCTTTAGATATGTTATAAATGGGAGCTATTTTATATTTTGCATGGTTTAAGTGTGATCCTCTGTGTTTAGTAGGAGTTTTTTAAATTCTGGTCTCTTGAACTATTTGAATGTATATATAAAACATTGTGTGCCTGTGCACACCTGTATATGAAGAAGGCTACATAGCTTTCATCTCAAAGAAGTTTGATTCAAAAAAGATTGAGAACCGCTGTACTGAAATTAATAAACAGTTAAAAGATCTTGATTTTTCCATGATTTTATTAATGTGTCACATCACTGTCAACTGGTAAAATATCAGACATTTTTATGAGAAATTGAAATTATATTAGAAATAATGTGTATCTTAATTCTTTTTCAGAAACATACAGCTTTTGCTACTTTCGCTAATGAAAAAGCAGCTATAAAGGTATGACTTTTTCTTTGCCATTAGAGTTATCAACAATTTTCTATTATCAATCTTGGTTTGAAAATGAAACATAATGTTAAACTACACTTTTTTTTTTTTTTTTTAAAGATTTTATTTTTTCCTTTTTCTCCCCAAAGCCCCCCGTACATAGTTGTATATTCTTCGTTGTGGGTCCTTCTAGTTGTGGCATGTGGGACGCTGCCTCAGCGTGGTCTGATGAGCAGTGCCATGTCCGCGCCCAGGATTCGAACCAACGAAACACTGGGCTGCCTGCAGCGGAGCACGATCTTAACCACTCAGCCACGGGGCCAGCCCCTTAAACTACACTTTTTAAAAGTGAAAGCATTTGTATTTCAGGAGTTTGGTTACAGGCTACATTTGGTTTGTCAGTTGGCAGATCTTGCACAATATTTACGTATTTAAACATAAGAATAGTAGATTACTAGAAAGTGAATTAAAATTGAAGTGTAATGTTATGTAATTAAAAATAAGTTCTAAAGGATGCAAAGATTGATAACTACCTCTGTAGCTGTTGCAAAGTAAGATATTTTAAGTATTAAAGGGAGAAAATATATATTTAAAAATCTTAGGGAATCAATTGCAAAGAGGTGACCTTTGATGTGGACTTTTAATGATTAGTTGGATTTTGAGAAGAAAACAAAGGGAGATGGACCATCTAGGTTTGGAGAACATTTAGTAAAGCTATGGGGCATGGAAAGTTGTAAGTGGATCAAGACCTAAGGGTTGAAATGGAAATAGGACTTGGAAAATAGATTGAGTCTAAATTTGGGTGGGAGGGAGGGATTGAATTTTGTTGAGTAGGTATTCTAAAGACACTTGATACATTTGAGTTAGCCAGTAATATGGTCAGGTCTGTGAAAGATATCTGGTAGTGTTTATGTAATAGATTAGATGTGGAAAAAGGTTAGAGGTAAGAAGACCAAATGGAAAGCCAAGACAAGAGAAATGTTATAATGGCCAGGACAAGAGAAAGGATCTGAATAAGGCAATAAGAAGACAAAGGAAGAAGAAGGTAAATACTTGGTAGAGATTGAGTTTGTAAGTCTTATGATCCCTATAGATGTAGAAGTTGAGAGCAGGAATACTTTAAGATTTTTGGACTTAGTTATCGGGTTATTACATTAGCTGACAGAGGCAGGATTCAGAGGATGTTTGCAAGGTAGATAATTCAAATGTCATCTATTAACTCTGAGGAGTCAATGTGCTACTTCTATGGAAATCTTTTAAAAACATTTAAAAATATGAGTCTAGTGCTGAGGCAAGATGAAAAATGGAGTTTCTTCAATCAAGTGAATGGATATGGTTACCCACAGGAAGACAAGCCAGCGAAGAAGACCAAAGGAGAAGTTAGGAAGGGAAGCAGAACTAGAAAAAAAATGATCATAGATGCAAAGAGAAGAGCGTTTCAAGAAGATGAGATCCTGTGGTGACACAAAATGAGGAATGAACAGCCTATTAGTAAAGGACTTTTTATTATGAAATGATAGAAATGACCCAAATTCTCAGTAAGGAGAAGAGACAGCTTAAATTGTCGTATATCCATATACTTGACTGTCAGAGAATTAAGGTCGAATGAATATGTATTAATAAAGCATGTAGCCCAGATAGAGTACATGAATAAAGTTGCAAAACATTATGTATGACATAACTTTTAATTTATGGAAAACTAATGGTATATTTGTTAATTTATGCATAGAAAAAAATGTAGTAGAGGTATATGCCAAATTCTTAATGTCTTTCTCTGAGAGTGGTATTACAGAAGATTTTCACATTATATGTATTTTTAAAATTTTTTTCAGAAGACTTTTTTTTTAATATAGCATAAGAAATTATAAATGAAATATGTTAATGAAAACCACATTGTTTTAGGGTCAAGAATAACTTGGAAGAGAGGACATGGAGCCGGTCATTGTCTTTGAGAAATGTTTGTATTGAAGAGAAGGAATGAGAAAATAATAGCAGTGATAGGACTTTTAGGCTAGAGTGCACTTGATTGATTTAAAAAAAAAAGAGGAAGAGAAATGTTTAAGAATAAAGTAACTGAGCTAGATAGGGAGATTAGTTAACATTAAAAGTGAAAAGCCATAAATCTTTGAAAAGAAGAGACTGTGTGTGATACAATTTTGAGAGGAAGAAAGTTGAAGTAATTCAGTTTAGATGACTTGTGTTTCAGATAATCAAAGGTCCATTGATAGTGAAGAGGTCTAGAGTTGATTTAGGGACTGGAAAATTATTGAAGTATTTTAAAACTTGCTTTGTATAATGGAGTCAAATAAGGATGCCTAAAGACAGAATAAAATTGTAGTCCCAGTTAAGGCCTACATTTGTTCAAAAACTATTAAGTGCCTACTGTGTGCTAGATGCTTCTTTAGGTCTTGGGATACATCAGTGAATAAAACAAAGATTTTTGCCCTCATTGGAGCTCACATTCTCAAAAGGGGAGACAGACCATAAATAATAAACTTAATAAATTGTTTATTATTTTAGAAAATGATAAATGCTATGGGAAAAAAAGAAAAAGAGCAATAGAATCAGGAATGTGCTGGCTGGGGAGGGTTAAGTTGCAGTTAACGTGGTTAGGGTCATATTTGAGCAACAATTTGAAGGAAGTGAAAGAAGTTAGGAGGTGAATGAACATGCCTGTTATGTTCAAGGAAGCCAGTGTGGCTGAAGCACTGAGGGGAGATGATTGGATTTGAGGTCAGAGTATTAATAGAGTTCATACCTATATTTTTTGTAAGGACCCTAGATTTTACTCTGAGTAAAATGGGGAGCCATTGGAGTATTTTGAGCAAATCAGTAACATAATATGACTTAATAATATTTAAAAGGATCACTTTGTGTTGAGAATAGATGAAAGGCAAGAAAGAGTAGAAACAGGAGATCTGTTAAAAGATTATTCTGGTAATTCAATCTAGAGATGATGGTTACTTGGACCACCGTAGTAGCAGTGGACGTAGTAAGAAGTGGTTAGATTGTGGATATATTTTGAGGGTAGAAACTAACAGGATTTCTTGATGGCTTTCATATGCAATGTGGGAAAGAGTTGTAAAGCATGATTCCAGGATTTTTGGCATGAGTCAGGAGAAGAATGGAGTTACCATCAACTGAAATGGGAAAGGTTCCAGATGGAGAACATTTAGGGGGATGAGGAGAGATTAGTGGTTCAGTTTCTGAAGTGTTGATTTTACGATGTTTGTTAGACATCTAGGAGGAGCTATCCAGTAGTTTGGGTATATGTTCCTGGACTTCAGCGTAGAGGTTTGGGCTGAAGTTAGAAAGTAGGGAATCATTAGCATGGAGATGGTATTTAAATTTAGGATGCTGGATTAGGTCACCAAGAGATTAGATAGAGAAGACCAATAATAGGGCTCTGGAGTATGCCTACATTAAGAGTTACAGAAGGCACAAGCCGAAGAGATTGAGGAGTAGAAACCAGTGAGCTAGGAAGAAAACTGTGGGAAAGTATGGTGTCTTGACCCCAAGTGAAGAACATATATCAAGGAGGGAGTGATCAGCTGTGTTAAAAATACAGTAGACTGAAGACTGAGAGTTGACCATTGGCTTGGCAGTATAGAATTTGTTGTTGCCTGTGACCAGCAGTGTCAGTGGACAGATTAAATGTAAGCCTGATTGAAGTGAGTTTGAAGCTGGAAGACAGGAGAGGAATTTTAGATAGAGGACTTAGATAACTCTTAAGGAATTTTACTGCGAGTAATTAAAAAGGGAGCAAGCAGTGGTAAGTGGGATCAATAGATGAAGAAGAAAAAATTTTAGGATGGGAGAAATAAGAGCATGTTTGTCTCGGATGTAGATAATCCAGTAGAGGACAGAAAATTAGCAGAATAGGTAAGAACACCCCCATAATTCCAGAGAGTAGAAGTGAGGCTCTTGAATAGATTAGAGAGGGTGGGATATAGGATACAAGTGAAGCAACTTGATTTAGATAAAAACATGGATAGTTAATATGTGTTATCAGATGGAAGGTAGAATATGTAGGTACAGATGCTGGTAGGTGGGGAGTTATGTTGGGAATGTGAAGTTCTATCTAGTTGCTTCATTTTTCTTAAAGTAGGAAGCGAGGTCATAGGCTAAAAGAATGGGAGAGGAATATTGTGAGGTTGAGGAACAAGAAGAAAGTACAAAATACTCTCTAAGAGATTGATAGAAAAAAATGAACTAAGAATGTGGTACGTAATATGTAAGTGTGTGCCTTCATTAAGAGCCACCCCCAGATTTATGTCTGTGGTCATGAATTTAAATGAGACCAGGCCAATTCATTATGTTTGCTTTTCTAACCATTTTCAGCTGCCTGGGTATAGACAGAGTTGGATTCAAGCAGATTTTAGTTTTGCTAAGTGATGGGAATTAGTCCCTTAATAATCATTAAAGCCTTGGCAGCCTGAACTTAGAAATGTGTAAGAAATAGCTGAAGAAATGTTAGCAGCATTAACAAAAACTGTATATAAGTTATTTTGTATATGATCTCTAACAAATAATTTTTGGTACAGTTAGCAAATTTTTACTCTTTTGTTCTTCCAACCGAAGGCACTGACAAGACTCCATCAGCTGAAACTTTTAGGTCATACTTTAGTTGTTGAATTTGCAAAAGAGCAAGATCGAGTTCATTCCCCATGTCCCTCTTCAGGCAGTGAGAAAAAGAAAAGGTATGTAGATAGTTAAGTTTTCCTAACATTTTACAGTGTTTTTTAATCAGTTGTATTGCTATTGGATTGTTTTCAGACTAGCAAGTAAATAATCTAAAACAGTAAATGATACATCTGTTGAATCTGTACATTAAAATAGTCTATTTATTTTTGTCCTAATTGTACAGTAGGAACCTGAGTGTTGATTTAATATTAGGAATTAATCAATGTGAAGTGGGAAGAGAGATGGTGAAAAGCATTCCACTTTAAGTGGATGGAAGGTAATTAGTATAAAGTCTTTGTTGTACTAGAGATAGTAGGGTGTCATGAATGGGCATGCTTTGATATCAAAGACTAATATTTGGTTCCCAGCTGTAATTCTTTGTAGTTATACAGCCTTGCAAATTGGCTTTATGTTAGTGGTTCTCAAAGTGTAGTCCCTGGACCAGCTGCACCATCGTGGATCTTGACGGCAATACAAATTCTTGGGTCTTAACCCAGTTCTACTGAATCAGAAATTTGAGGTTGTGGGGAGGATAACGCCCCAGCAACCTGAGTTTTAACAAATCCTCTAGTTGATTGTGATGCACATTAAAGAAATTTGAGTGTCACGATTTTATGCCATGTAAACTTCAGGTGTGGTGTTTTTTTTGGTCAGTGAGGTTTATCATACCATCTTCACAGTGGTACTGTGAAGAGTAAATGAAAATGTGGCATACTTTGTATAGTATTGGAATAGAGGAGGTATTTACTGAAGCTTGATTCTGTTTCCCTTCCTTTTCATTGGTGGTTGCTTGAGAAATACTTCAAATTTTTACATATTGTAGGACTGTTTTAATAATGCCATGTTTGAAAAGATAATGTCTTTTCTGTATGCAGTTTTTCACTCTGTTTCTAAAGATCAGATCAACTTTGATTCTGTGTTTCTTAGGTCTGATGATCCTGTGGAAGATGATAAAGAAAAGAAAGAACTTGGTTGTTTAACCATAGAAAATGGAATTGCACCAAACCATGGGTTAGCATTTTTTGTTTGTATTTTGTTGTTCTGAGTATATATACATACATACACATATATATACTATATATATAGTAAATAAGATAAATTTTCTTTTAAAGGGTATGTCATGAATATTTTTAATGTGTTGATTAAACATTTTGAGCTATAAGAGTTTGTCGCTAAATTTGGTTCCATCAACATGTGCAGGGTTATAAGATAAGCTCTAAGAAATACTTTATTTTTCTTTAATGCAATCAAGGCAAGTTTATTTTTAAATGTACTTATTTGGATCTACTAGAAATAAGGTTAATCTAAGAGTACTGAATCATTTGAGCAATTTTGTATGCTAGCAGGTTACAAGTTATTGATATGAAGCGTATTAAGACATGATAAGAATTTAAAATTTTTTTTTAGGCTGACTTTTCCTCTCAATTCATGCCTCAAGTATATGTACCCACCACCTTCCAGCACAATCCTAGCAAACATAGTAAATGCTTTGGCAAGTGTGCCTAAGTTCTATGTACAGGTAAGTAGAATAAAACTTTACTTTCCTCAAAGTGAGTGCTTATATAACTTGATAAATTATTTTCCATGCTAATTCTCATGCTTTTTCATAATAGTATTAATCAGACAAATTCTGACAGGCAATGATACTATAATATTTTAAAGATATGTCAGTCAGTTCAGGCTGCTATAACTAAGTGCCATAGACTGGGTGACTTATAAACAACCAAAAATTGTCACAGTTCTGGAGGCTGAAAGTTGGAGATCAGGGTGCCAGCATGGTTGGTTTCTTGTGAGGGCCTTCTTTTGGGTTGCAGATGGCTGTTTTCTCTTTGTATCATCACAAAGCTGAAAGAGGGTGAGAAAGCTCTCTGGGTTCCTTTTTATAAGGGACACTAATCGCTTTCATGGGGGTTCTACCCTTGTGACCTAGTTACTTCCCAAAGGCTCCCCTCCTAATCTATTAAATTGTGGGGTTAGGATTCAACATATGAATTTTGGAGGGACACAACAAACACTCAGTCCATTGCAAAAAGGAATGAAATATTTCTACATTCAAGTAAAGCCTTTTGTAAACTATAATATAAACATACTAATATGTTTAGTATTAGTATAATAAACATAAGCTAATTTGGGAAATATAATTTCTGGTAATTCTTTGTTACCTTAGCATACATGTTTAATGTAGAGATTCTTTCTTAAAGGAAAAGACATAGTGGACCCTCAGCAAATGCTTCAAAGTATTGACAGTAATAAGATACTTCTTTGAAGTACAAAATATGGATGTTTATTTCCTTTATTTTGCTTCTCTCTGTTTTATAATTAGTAATCAGGGAAAAAGACACAACATTTCAGTAGATTTAACATTGCAAGAAAGTGACATTTTTAATAATGAGAATAATAGCATTAGTAGAATTGACAAACATTTTAGGAAGGGTGATATGAGATATACTAGGGCCTAGTTTTAGCCCTGTCCAGGGATTATAAAGGCAAAAAATTACTCAATAGTGTTATTGCAAAGTTTTTAATTATGTAAAATATAAGATGAGTCAAATCATCATTTCACTATGTGATTTTAAATGTTTAATTACTTTAAGGTGCTTCATCTTATGAATAAAATGAATTTACCCACACCTTTTGGACCAATTACTGCACGACCTCCCATGGTAAGAAAGCTCTTAGGATTTTTTCTAAGATTTTAAATTTCTCTTCTGAAGGTGGGAATATTGATGCTAACATTTTTAAATGTTGTGCTAGTGACTTCTAATGCACATTGAAAAGAAGGAACAAATATAAAGTTAATGTGATGATAGTCAAGTGGAGAGCTGAAAGTGGAAGAAAGCCAAAACATGAAAGAGGTGCTTTTGGTAATAGAAGCCATTGTTTCTACCAGTGTTATTGTTCAATCTTTTGATCCAGACAGTTGTGCCATTCTATAAGATAATTGCATTTAACAAACTTAATTTTCTAAAATTTCTGTTCTGGTTTTATTGCATATAGAACTTCATTTGCAGAAGACAAGAAAGTTTGCTAATTTTTTAAATTAGAATTTGCTATGCAAATCTACCAATTTAGTTAGTAGCCTGTGTCTGCTCTTGAATAATTTTAGTTATTTTGCTATGATACTCTTAGTAGTTTTTTAGATAATAGCAATGAGAAATTATCTTGACTACTAACATTTAAATGGAAAATTTGCTTTTCTGTTGTATTTTGGCTGCTTTTCTAATGTGTACACTGTTGGCTTCATAATTTTTCTTTGTAAGCCAAGACCTCAATGCCTGGAACATTGCAGGGATATTAGTTAAGACTATGTTAGCTACTGTTAACAAATAAAACTGAAATCTTAGTCACTTAAAACAATGTGAGTTATTTCTTGTTCATGTCAAGTTCATTCCAAAAGTAAGGCAGAATGATGTTCTGCTCTACTGAGTCATTCAAAAGACCTAAGTTATCTTCACTATGTGCATTCTCAGGTTTTGGTGAGGACATTACCATGCAACCTGCAGATCAAGAAGGGAGAGAGGATTATATGTATGGAAGTTTTTTATGCTAACATTCCATTGGCTAAAACGCAGTTACATGGTGAGATCTAACTACAAGGGATCTTGTAGTTTGGAAATTTAGTCCAGCTAGATGCCAAGGAAAAAGAAACAAGTTTTATGATCAGCTAGCAGTCTGCCACAGCAGATGTTCCCTCAATATATGTTAAATGTGTCAAAGAATATCATGAGGTAGAGAGATATGAGAATTGTGCCTGGGTGGATGGTTTTTGTATTCCGTAAACATAGATTGCTATAGTATTTTCGTTTTGTTCTTTTAATTAGTATGAAGACTATATGCCATTACACGCACCTCTTCCACCTACATCTCCTCAGCCACCAGAGGAACCTCCTTTGCCAGATGAGGATGAGGAACTATCTAGTAAAGAATCAGAATATGAAAGCAGTGATGATGAAGACCGACAAAGGTTTGTAATGTTAAATAATACTTGTTTAGATTCCAAGAAACGTAGACTATTGGGAAAGTGATTCTCTAGCTCTTTTAAAATTTTGCATATAATCTTTCATAATTTAGGATCATTAAAATTTGTCTGTTCCTAGCCCCCAACCCCTCAAACATGTAGTCGGTATAGATTGAAACTTGAGAGAAGATATCAAGACCTAAGGAAAAATTTTTGTATTGTGAGTAATTTTTTAGATGAATGATTATGGTATCATAAAGTACAGTTGATCTTCATTATTTGTGGATTCTATGTTTTTTAATGTGGCTAGCTTGGTAAAAGTTAGTTGTAACCCAAAAATCAATACTTGCACTGCATTTATGGTCTTTTGTGAACATAGGCATATGCAGATGGTGGAAAATTTGAGTTGCTCAACTTGCACATTCTTAGATGAGGTAGAACAAGGTGACAGTCTGCCTTCTTGTTTCAGTAGCTCCTTGTCCTTTCTATGGTCTTTTTTAGTACCATGTTTTTCACATTTTTGTGCTGTTTGTTGGTGATTTTGGTGTTTAAAATAGTCCCCAAGCATAGTGTTGAAATGTATTCAATTCAAGATCAGGAAGACTGTGATGTGCTTTATGGAGAAAATACATGTGTTAGATAAACTTTGTTCAGGAATGAGTTATAGTGCTATTGACTGTGAGTTCACCGTTAATGAATCGACAACATACAGTCATGCACCACTTAATGACAGATGCGTTCTGAGAAATGCGTTGTTAGGCAATTTCATTATCGTGTGAGCATCAGAGTGTCCTTACACAAACCTAGATAATACGGCTATACTTAGGCTATATCGTGCTAATCTTATGGGACCACCATTATATATGTGGTCCATTGTGGACCGAAATGTGGATCATTTTGTAGCACATAACTGTGTGTGTTAGATGAAGCGTCCTTAAACAGAAACACACATAAAACAAGGTATGTGTTGATCAGTTGATGAAATGTGAGCTTGCGGGAACCTAATCCTGAATTTCCCCTGTAGACAATGATTCATCATTCTCTAATTTAGTGTTTGTGGAGGCTTTATGGGACTCTCGTTACTTTCAAATAATGAGAACAGAAGTAAATTGTATTCATATTTTGTCATATTTTGTCAGCTTCTTCTCCTGGACTTTACTCACCTCAGAAAAATTTCTAGAGCAACTCTGTAGGATTTAATACAAAATTATTTGTAGTAACTACTGCAGATAAATTATTCTTTTTATTGGTTATTCTTGATGATCTACATATATTTTATTTAAAGACTGTCTTAAAACAGTAAGTTGTTAATAAGGTTCAGGTATGTAATCCACAGCATAACCTAGAATAGGAATTGCTAAACATTTTCTGTATAGGGCCAAAGGGTTCTTTTGGAGTGGGAAAGCAGCCATAGATAATGCCTGAATGAGTGGATGTGGCTGTGTTCAAACAAAACTTTCTGTTTATAAACACAGGCAGTTGGCTTGATGTGGTTGTTGGGCTCTAATTTGCCAGCCCTGAGCCTCAAAGACCCAAATAGGCAAATGGGAATAGGTAACTGCACAGAAGAGTCAAGATACAGAAGGAGTCGTTGACATGAGTCAACCAAAACCCAGACTGGGAAACATATACAAATAATCAGCAGCAATTTGACATCTGTTGACTCAGTGTCCACTTAAGTAATTTGTTGTTGTTGTTAGTGCTTGTTGAGTCCTAGCAACCCTGTGTACAGCAGAGCAGAACTCTACCTGGTCTGTTTGCACCATCCTCTGACCTTCTGGTGCTGTAGAAGCCAGTGCTCTGCTGTTGTTCATAAGGTTTTCATGGGCAGTTTTTTGGCAGTGAGTGACTAGGGCCTTCTTCCTCATCTGTCTTAGTCTGGAAGCTCAGCTGAAACCTGTCCACCATGGGTGACCTTGCTGATATTTGAAATACCAGGGGCATAGTTTTCAGCATCACAGGACCATGCAGCCCCCACAGTATGACAGTTGACAGATAGGTGGTGTGGTTCCCTGACTGAGAATTGAACCCGGGCCGTAGCGGTGAGAGTGCCTAATCTTAACTGCTAGACAACCAGGGGTGGTTACTGAAGTACTGGCTCAATATATGTTCTTTTTCTAGGGAAAGAGTTAAGATCAAAATGTAGGCAGGGCTGAAACTACAAAGTGGGAGTGAATAGAGTGCATTGAACAGAGGTGTTTAGAAAGGCTGGCAGTTCTCAATAGACTGTAACTTAGTGCTAAATAAAGAACAATGCTGCAGAGTGTTGCATTAGGTTAATTACTTAACCTCTGTAAATCTTACTTTCTTAATAAAAATAATGATAGCAATAAGAAATACTTTATCTAGACTAGCTAGAACCTTTTTTGTTTGTTTTTGTTTTGTTCATTTAGATTTCCATTTTAGGGATATAGTAAGAAATTCTGCAAATAATTCATCTTGAGTCATGAGAACAAAGCCTTTGCGTGAATCAATCTCTGGTTTCATGCTTCTCTGTTATCTTCTAGAAATGTTAAAAAAAAAAATGGTACTATTTATTTGTTCAGCAAATATATATTGATTACCTACCTAATATATGCCAGACACTGTTGTAGAGGCTTAGTATACTTTGGGTGAGCAATTTGTGAATGTAGACATGTTTTGTATAACTGGATTTATTCATAAAATTTTTCGCAAGCCATGGTTGTAAAGAGGCTTTAAAAATTTACAGTATTTGTTTTCATTTTTCCTTGCTTAGGGAAGGTTTAAAACTTATTTTAAACATACTCTCCTCCTCCTCCTTTGCATTTTATTGTATTTGTTTTGCTTTCAAGTTTCACAAATATAGCTAGAGAAGTAGAGCTGTGACTAGTGGTTTTTGAGCCTGCTCTGTGGAAACACTGTATCTGATCCTGTGGAAGATACAAAAATGCTTTGAAAAGATCTGTTCCAGATATTACACATACTGGTAATGGAGACAAGCTATGTACAAGGTATCAATTGTTATACCTTGATTGTTACTTACAAGCTACTTCAGGGTATAGGACTTGAAAATTTTGTTCTCAAGTAAGTTATCTTGTTTACATAAGTGTTGATTTGCAACAATTATGTGCAAATATTTTTTTTGTTTTGGTGAGGAAGAGTTTTTTTGATGAGGAAGATTTGCTCTGAGCTAACATCTGTGCCAATCTTCCTCTATTTTGAATGTGGGTCACTGCCACAGCATGGCTGACAAATGGTGTAGGTCTGCACCCAGGATCTGAACCTGAGAACCTGGGCTGCCAAAGCCGAACATGCAGAACTTTACCCACTAGGCCATGCAGCTGGCCCCACAGAAGGTTTTTTAAATGAAAATACTTCAATCCAGGCTCTGTAATAATTAGACTATAAATGGAAGTAATTTTACTGTGTTCGTAAGGTCTTTTGAATATCAGTCAAGAAAAGAGCAAAATAGTTACATAGATTGTATTAGTGTATCCTGTTCAATATTTTGGCATTAAGTCTAACCATTCTTATTTGGGCAAATAATAATTTTTATAATGAAACGTATCTTTAAAAGTTGATAAATCACAATTGAATAGATTTTTGATTCCTTCAAAGTAAGATGAAAGGTGAGCAAGGAGATTTAGAATTTGAGCTTTTGTCAAATTTATATCTTAATTGATGACTTAGAAATTACGCTTAGTCTGTACACAAATCATTTTATAATTTATAAGCCCAAATGCATATTTAAGCTTAGCAGACAACAGTGGTAAATAGCTATGCTTTTCCATAAGAAATTTTATTTTCACTTGCCTTTCCTCCAATGTAGGATGACCAAACTAATGGAACTAGCAAATCTTCAGCCCAAAAGACCAAAAACAGTAAAGCAGCGCCACGTGAGAAAAAAGCAAAAAATAAAGGATATGTTGATTACACCTTCACCTGCTTCACACAGGTAACTTTGTTTTGAATTATGAAATAAAGGTTCTGTATGTTCTTTGCCTACTTGCTTAACTCATGTCATTCCTCAGTCTGGCTTTTATTTCATATTCATCTGTTTGGTTCACTAGTAACTTCCTATTTGCCAGATTCACAAATATTCATAATTGTGTCACGGTTGACCAGCATTTGATGCTTTTGACTACCCTGGGTCTCAAAATTGTCCAGCCTTAATCTTACATTATCATTCTCTCTTTTTTTTAATCTCCCATCTTACTGCCTCTCTTGCTGTTTTCCTTCGTGTCATTCTCTCTCTCTTGCTCGCTCTTTTTCTTTTGAATATTGGATTCCATGTGCTTCTGTCCATGATCTTTTGTTCATATATTTATATTCCTTATTAATCTCATTAATTTTTCTCGTTTCACCTTTTGAAGCTAATAGATACCAAATCTCTATCTTTAGCTTTAACCTACTGAGACCTGAAGTCTTCTTTTCCAGCTTCCTCCTTTTTGCCTGCTCAGTGTATCCTGTAGGCACTTAAGATATTCTTCAAAACAGTACTCTTTTTTTTTTTTCCTTTTAAAGATTGGCACCTGAGCTAACAACTGTTGCCAATATTCTTTTTGTTTTTTTCTGCTTTTTCTCCCCAAATCCCCAAATTACATAGTTGTATATTTTCAATTGTGGGTCCTTCTAATTGTGGCATGTGGGACACCACCTCAGCATGGCCTAACGAGCCGTGCCATATCTGTGCCAAGGATCCAAACCAGTGAAACCCTAGGCCACTGAAGTGGAGTGCGCAAACTTAACCACTCGGCCACGGGGCCAGCCCCCAAAGCAATACTCTTTTAGTGTCCTTTCACTGTCTTTTTCCCCTTCTGCATTCAGTTTTGATAATGGAATCACCAGTGTGTTTATATGAAATTATATTCATTCCTCCTGACTCCACTACCAATATGAAACATTTTTTGACTTAAAAGTAGCCAACTGGATAAAAATTCGCACATCTTAGCTTAGCACACAGCACCTACCGAAGTGCCTTTAAATATTTATTGAATGTGTGATAAAGTTCTCTGCTGAATATCATGTGTGATTTGGAGCATGTGTCCAAAGGTTAGTGCTATCTATTCAAAGAGTGAGTTCACAGTCTTATGGGCAGTAAGCCATATGCATAGATGACTATTGCATTAGAAGTTATAATAAATGACATAAGAAAAAGATATAAACTAAGAACTGAAGGGTTGTGAGAAAGGAGAGGTCACAGCTAGTTAAGAAATCTAGAAAGACTTTAAGAGAGAGGAGACATTTCATCTGGGCTTTGAAAGATGAGAGGCAAAAATTAGTCAAGGAAAGGATATCCAGTATGAATGAAAAAGTAAAAGGAAAGTTTGTAGAGGTAGGAAAATTTATTGGATAGAGATTGAAATGATGAAAACTAGAAGGATGTGGAGAGAGAGCTGCCTTAAGTCTTAGGCTAAGATGTTTGAATTTATTGAGGGAGCCATTGTAATGCCATTGACATTTAAAAAAAATTTCTTTCAGACTATGTTATCTTATAATAAACTTTTCAGTGAGTAAGCAAATTTGGGGTAAAGGTCAGGGCTATGAATATGAAAGAATTTAATTAGATATAAATCAGCTTTCCACTGTTCCTTGAATATTTTGTTGTAGTACAGAAATTGCCAATGAAATGATATTCGTTATGTGTATTTTGTTTGAAATATATTGCCCGTTTTTTCCTTTTGACTGATTTTCTGACATTTTGCGTTAACATGATTTTGGTTGAAATTATGGCAGAAATTTTACTTGCCTTTTTGCCGTAAAATTCTATGTGTTTTAATACCTTTATCCAATGAAAATTACCATCAATTGCAGTTTTAACTCTACAAGGTAAATTTTCCTTGAACTTGTAAGTAACTTTATAAGTTGAGAAAGGAGTTTGTTAAAATTACTGTTTTTTTCCCATTTTTAAAAGACTGGGTCTTTAATTTTTTTCTTATTTCACATTAAGTATAAATAATACGATGTATTTCCCATGTTACTTGTCTTGACATCACAGTCCCATGCTTTTAATCTCTGTGGCAGCACTGAACAATTAAAAATAAATAATATGAAGGCCCAGCCCGGTGGCTGAGTGGTTAAATTCATGCACTCCACTTGGCGGCCCAGGATTCATGAGTTTGGATCCTGTGTGCGGACTTATGCAACACTCATCAAGCCATGCTGTGGTGGCATTCCACATGCAAAATAGAGGAAGATTGGCATAGAATTTAGCCCAGTGACAATCTTCCTTACCAAAGTAAATTAATTAATTAAATTAAATAAATAATGTGAACCAAATTAGATTTTTCCAATAGCCACATTAAAACAGTAAAAAAGAAACAGATGGAATTAATTTTAATAATATATTTTATTTAACCCATTATGTCCAAAATATTATTTCAGCATACAATTAATATAAAAAGTTATTGAGATGTTTACCTTGTTTTTTAATACAAAGTTGTGAGAGTCTGGTATGTATTTTATACTTACAGCATATTTTAATTTGTACAGCGACATTTCAAGTGCTCATTAGCCACATGTGGCTGGTGGCTACTCTACTGGACAGCATAGCTTTATTATATAGTATACAGAATATAGTTTATAATCCTATATTAAACATAGAATGAGCTTTTTTGCATATTAGTAAATATAGATTTAATAGTGCTCAAGTCCTGTCTGTGTCATTTACTGAATGACTTTATGCAATACTTAACATCCCTTAACCTCAGTCTCCTTATTTATCTAAAATAGGAATTTAATAGTATTAGAACATTTGTTAGGGTTTATGGAAGTATTAAGTGTAAGTTACTTTGTGCAGTGCCTATAGTGTTGTGAGTGCTTTATCAGTGTTAGTTTTTTAAATTTAAAGTAAATATGAAATAATGTTTTACTTAGGATTTTATTTGCAATTATAAAGTAATGCTGTAATTGTTTATAAACAGCAATTTACATCCAGTGCTGTTACCTTCAGATGTGTTTGACCAACCACAACCTGTAGGTAGTAAAAAAATTGAATTCCATATATCTACTGACATGGTGGCTGCATTTAAGAAAGATTTAGAAAAGGAACAAACTTACGACGAACAGAAGTGTGGTAAGCATATTCTAGTTCTTTAATATGCTATGTAAAAATTCTTCTCAATCAGCTTTTTATGTTAGAATTCTATGTATAATGTTTCTCTATTTTAGTATTTGTGAAGTATATTTAAAATATGCAGTTAGGTCTTCTCGACATCATGGAATACTGTCCATTTTGAACTTTTTTTATGTAAGTAAAATGAGTGCTTAATGGTGAGATTGTCACAGTTGCCTTTTGCTAGTAATGAAATCTAGGGTGAAATTTAGTCTGGTTTTTGCTGATGTTTACACTAAAAATAAATAGAAGAGTTTCTTGTATTGACTTATTTTTCTTGTATTGACTTATTTTATTTATTGATTGTTAAATGTGATGTTCTGTGGTTTTATTAGTATAATTATATTATTGGCTAGAAAATAAGCAGAGTGACTATCTTGTGAATTGTAGATGTCATGTACTTTTTTCTTCCTCCAGAACACATGGAAGGTTGTTTACCAAGATACTATTCTTAAATTTAAAGATAATGTATTGAAATTACCGAATTTTTTCTGCTTCTTTTAGGCATCAATATAATACAATGGTATTCCTTTGTTCTTTAATAATTTTTTTTTAATTTTGGAAATAATACCAGCTTACAGAAAATGTAATCAAAACAGGAGCATGTAAAGTAAAATTTTAGGAAGTTTACACCTCAAACCCCACTGTTCCCATCTCACTACTTAGAAATAGTTATGGTTAATAAGTTGGTGTAAAGATAGCCTTTCAGGCCGTATCATATACGTGTGTAAACACATTTTCTCTGTCTTTTTTTAAAGTGAGCATTATGTTTTATGTAGGATTTGTCATTGACTCAGTAAGGACTTAGGGAAAGCATAGAGCATAGCAGGCTTTATGCTAGGCCCTAGAGGACAAGTTAGACATAGTCTGTGATCTTTTGGAGTTTAAAGTCTAGTAGGAGTAGCTTACTGTGTCAACATAAAAATATATACTTTACTTTTTTTGTGGTTGCATAATACTCTGTAATATAGTTATATCAATCTTTATTTAATCATACTCTGTTGATAAAAGTTGAAGTGGTTTCCAGTTTTTTACTGTTACGGAAAATACTACAATATACATTTTTGTATATATATCTTTGAACACTTGTGTGAATATAGAATTATAGTAAGTATTGCACATGTAGTGAATGAAAAACTAACTGGTTTTAGTTCCTGTCTCTGATGGTTAGTGAGAATGCATTCCCTTTCCACACAGGTCCTTTTTTGTGTGTTTCAATATTTATATACATTTTTTGTATGTGTGTCTTTCTTATCTCATGGCTAGTCACCCCTTGACACAAATTTTTATTTAAGCTTAGTTTTTACTCAAAGGTTTAGATGTATATGAGAGGGGGACAGTCATCTCATTCTACATCAGTGTCAAGTAGTAATACTGAAAACAGTAGAAGCAGTTTTAAAAGTTTTTCTTTTATTGATGCCTTGAGGACACAGGAGGTCTGTTTATACAATAGTTTTTCTACATACCGAAAAGACATTTATAATCCTAAATGTCGCATGTTCTTTGCATCATCATCTCAGCTTCCTAGAGGTTTTTTTGGTTTCTTTTTTATTAAATATCACTAAAATTTTTTAGTGAATGTTTAACCCTATCCTTCCCAGCCCTCTCCCCCATGCAAGTTTAATTTTTGCTGAAGCTAAAATTTATATTTTCTGAGATCTATTCTGTTGCTGTCTAAAATAAAAAATTCACCATGTTTCTTAATTTTTCTAATTGAACGAATAATTTCTTAAGTGTGCAAATACTTATTTTTCTTTACTTCTTATAGGGCCAAGATTAGGATTGGTCGTTTTTTTTTGATGGAGGGATGTTTAATGTATTTTTTTTTCAATATCCTCAAATGGAAGTGTCTTATTTTATGAAGTTTATTCCAGCATAATGTGTTAATTTTAATCTTTTAATCATGAGACCGTTAAAGGTTGTTTGTTTCACAATATTCTGATGTAGTGTTATGAAGTCTTTATACCCATTGTATAAATAATCTTGAATGACCACATCTCATTAGCAGAATGCCTTTGGTAGTTATGTAATTTATGTAATAAATTGCAAATTTCTTTTCACTTAATTATTAATAGTTCAGAGAGGGAAGGTTAAACAAAATGTTGATTATTGCCCCCCAAAACACACATCTTCCTGTCTAAACCTTTTCATCAGATGCCCCTCTGGCACCTCAAATGAAGTATGTTGAAAATAAATTCATTTTCTTTCCACTCTGCTGACCCTCTAAATGGCACCACAAAGCAACCATTTGGCTGTTTAGCTATTGTCTATGGCTGTTTCCATGGTACAGTGGCAGAGTTGAATAGTCATGACAGAAACTATATGGCTTCCAAAGCCTAAAATATTGAATCTTTTTGCAGAAAAAGTTTGCCTATCCCTGTTCTAAATCATTGAGAAAAATCACCAAAGAGTTTTAGTGCCAAAAGATATCTTAAAGGTTAAAAATGGAAAACAAAAACTATTTTGAAGGGAGGGAGTTTTAATGTCTGATGTTTAAATGTTAACTCTTAGATTTATCCACTACTGAAGTTGATGCCAATTCCGGATTTGGAAAAATCTTCCCAAAACCTAATTTGAACATCGCAGAGGAGATTAAAGAAGACTCTGATGAAATGCCATCAGAATGTATTTCTAGAAGAGAGTTGGAAAAGGGCAGAATTTCTAGAGAAGGTAATTTCATGAAATAAACCAACGCTTATTTCATTTTACATTTCTTTAATCCTTCAGAAACAAAACACCAATTTCTTCATGTTATTTACCTTAATTAAGGCACATACTTCAAAACATCTCTCCAGTCACTGTTTTTAGTCACCACTTTTGGTTTTTAGTAACTATATTTTATAGAGAGGGAAGTATCTCTCACAATACAATGTTTCCAGTCTGTATTTGTTTGGAAAAAATTTTTATTTTCATTTCTAAAACTTTCATATGACATCTTAAACAAATCAGTGAGGCCTACAGTCAGGAGTTCTGTATTCCAAAACCAATTACTAGACCATCACACTACTGTGTCTGAGATGCTTGCAAGTTAATTGTTTAAAAAAAAAAATACTCAGTTTTAATTTTTTGATGATTAGTAGTCTGGTTTAAGGATTTTTGTATCCTAACATGATAGTTTTTTATTTCAAATGGATTATTCCTGTTTTAATACGTTTTAGGAAAATATTTAAGGGGTTTAGATGGATGTATAACACATAATAATTTTTCCCATAATAAGGGGAAATAAACTTCCAACTAGCATTTTTGCATAGAGCATCTAGTTGTCAGGAGCAGATTACTGACACTAAATAGGAATAGCTGTATAGGGATTCAGAAGCCATAGTTTGTCTGAAATACTCGATTATTACATTTGTATATTTCATTGGTACATTTCAACGTATTGGTGCCTTGTTTGGGAAATTGACTTTAAGCAAAACAGTTGCACAAATGATTGATGACATTTTCATTGACTTCAGTCTTTTTCATAAAGTAACTCATCTTAAAGAAGCTTTAATAATAAATACCTTATTGCATAAATTTAATTTTTCCAGATATCTGAAAATTTTTAACTTTTCATATTATCACTTCAGATTTTTAATGAGTATTTTCATACTATTAATAGCATTGCTGTTAAGTTCTGTGGTTTTAACATTTTCATAATGCTTATTTTGTCTATTTAACATTTATATTTGAATGTTATAGTTTTTCTTTAAAAAATTGATGAAAATATCTTAATTTTATATCCTTGTTGGTTTTTTTTTAAATAAGAAATGGAAACACTTCCGGTTTTTAGAAGTTATGAGCCTGGTGAACCAAACTGTAGAATTTATGTAAAGAATTTAGCTAAACATGTTCAAGAAAAGGTAAGTTTAAATTTATAAATTGACTTTATTGTTTTACTTTTTTTTTTTCTGGACTTCCTTATCTGTCTTTTTCTTGTTGAAATTCTAGGACCTTAAATTTATTTTTGGAAGATATGTTGACTTTTCATCAGAAACACAACGAATAATGTAAGTGGCTGTTGTATTCTCAAATTATGGGGTTCTTTTGTTTGCTTGTTTTTTGCTGAGGAAGATTTTCCCTGAGCTAGCATCTGTTGCCAGTCTTCCTCTATTTTGTATGTAGGTCACTGCCTTAGCACGCCATGAGTGGCATTGTTCTGCATTGGGAGCTGAACCTGGGTTGCCAAAGCAGAGCCTGCCAAACTTACCCACTACACCGCTGCGGCTGGCCTTGTGTTTTGTTTTTTATCCATTACAAATTAACCCCCTTTTATTCCAACATTTCCCCTTAAGAGATAAAAATTATATGAAGAAATTTCTCTTATGTGTTGCATAATTAATCTTTTAGTCATCTAGAGCAAGAGTTTGAAAACTTCTTTGTAAATGGGCAGGTAGTAAAAATTTAATAATTTTATTTTATTGCAGGCTATATGGTGTTTGTTGTAAGTACTCTATTCTGTCTTTTTACCTTGAAGGCAGCCATAAATGATACATAAAGGAATATTCAGGCTGAGTTCCATTAAAAACTTTATTTATAGAAACAAGCTTCATCATAGATTCTAGCCTTGATCCCCAGCTCTTAAGCAATGGTTCTCAAACTTTAACCTGCTTAAGAATCACCTGGAGAGCTTGCTAAAACAGTTTCCTGGGTCCCTCCCCGGACAGTCTGATTTTCTAGGATCAGGTTGGGCCCATGAGTTTGTGTTTCCAAAAAGTTCATGGATGACGCCAAAGTTGCTGGCCCAAAGGTTACGCTTGGAGAGCTACTGTTTAATAACTCATTCAGGAATATAGAGCAGTTAGGCAAATTTTTCTTTTAGATTCTTACCCTGGCTGTAACTTCTCTTCTTTTAATTGGGTTGCATTAAGCAAGGCTCCCAATTTTGTGAGAGCAAAAGAGAAGAATATGATTTGTAAATTATATAAGAGCTAATGTTTAGAATTAGAATTTCATTCTTTAAAATTCCAAGTCAGTTAGCTCCAAGTATATGAGACCTTTGGCCGTATAACTTAGAAGTAGGGAATAATAAAAAAGGTAAGGAGAGAGACTCTTGAGGTAAAATAGAGAAGTGGCTCAAGACTAATTTTGTTTTAATCTTCATGTGAAATCAATACTTTTAAAGTCTTATCTGTCCTGTGTATCTTTTTAGATAGGTATGCACAAGGAGTAAAGTACCATGTCTTAAAATTCTCTATTTATCTTCATTAGTGGCAGATATCTCTTTTGATGAGGATACCAAAAGCTGCTTTTGCATGCCATGCAAAATACTGATCCTTTTTCTTGTTACTGCCTTTGAATTACAATTATAAGAAAAACATATATGTATTTCATGTATGTGAATACATACCTATATATATATATATGTATACATCCTTTCCCTCTATTTCCAGTATTGCCTGCAATTAGAGTTTGAGGAGAACAAATGATTCTGTATTGAGAAAGCTGTACATATCAAAATAATAAATTATAATGTTTCCCATGGGACTAGTCATGTGAATTTAAAAAAAGAAAATTTCAGTTTTTTAATTGATACTTTTAAATATTTTATATGCTTTGGTAGTCATATAGACTATCTAAATGGTAGGCAATACTTTAGTTGTAATTACAGTCTGATTTTTTTAATTAGTTTTCAATATACTTTTTTTCTTGAAAATGTTGAAAAATTAGTACACTAGGAAATAATAGAACACTATACTTGGAATAAAAGGATCTGGTTTGTGTTTCTGTCTCTAACTTTAGTTATCTGCATGACCGTGAAAAAGTCACTCAGTCTCTGTAGACATCACCTGTAAAACGATGGTTTTGACTAGATGATCAGTGGGGTCCTTTCCTACTCTGAAATCCTACGTTACTTTTCTATGGTTCCTGTCAGCCCTTCTATTCTTGGTTATATAGTTGTTTTTTTGTCACTTCACTAGATAGTATTGAATTGGCTGCATGAAATTTTTTTTAAATAGAGATATGAGATAAAAACTTGAGCTTTGCTTTTATACTTGCTAGTAATATAATTTTTAGATCACATCTATTTATCATAGCTAAAAAAAGATAGAATCCATTTTAGAACAGAATACAAAATATAATTTTAGAAAGCCTGAGTAGTTAATGTGTTAATCAGACAGCGTAGTCATTTTTACTCTGAAATAGCAAAATTTTAAATTGTTCAACACATTCCCATTCACTTCATCAAAATTGTTTGGCATTCTTTGAATCAAAACCACTCTTCTTTGACTTCTAGGTTTGATATACGCTTGATGAAAGAAGGTCGTATGAAAGGACAAGCTTTCATTGGACTTCCAAATGAAAAAGCAGCAGCAAAAGCCTTAAAGGAAGCTAACGGATATGTTCTTTTTGGAAAACCTATGGTGGTTGTATCCTTTAAGTCAATCTGTTCCAACACTATGTAGTTTTGAGGAGAAGAGTATAATTGAAACTAATTTTTATATTTTCTTTTAGAAATCTCAACAACTGGCATTCTAACTTGAGATAGTTATAAACATACTTAGCTGAGTCAGAGGATAGTATTATTTATATTTTTATTGGAAAATAAAGGAATCTCAGCGTCATGAGGTTATTAGAGTTCAGTTTATAAAAAATCATTTCACTTGTACAGCTCAAAAGTCCCTACTCATGCTAAGCCTGAGACTACATTATCCAGAAATATATTTGGAGCTGTTAAAGGTAGGATTCATTATAGTTTTATTTTATATTTTATATATTTATGTTATAAAGGAAACCTCTTGTTTATTTCATATCTCTATTTAAAAAAATTATTTTATAGTATATATTGTAATTCATGTTTCTGTTTGAGAATTTTAATAACCAGAATATGTCATTGATAACGATCCTGCTTTTAGTAGTTAATGCAGTTTGCAAACTAGAAATAGGAGGGATAGGTGAAGGAGTGAAGGTCAGGTATAAAAAATGACTGTAAAGAAAAAGTACGTTTTTACTTGTCCCCCAAATTGTGGACAGCAGGTCGGAGGCACTCAACAAAATATTTGACAAATGACAGAATGAGAAGACAAGTATAAAAGATAAATTAAAAAACTATACTCCTACCCTACTTTAGGAAGTTCTTTGTAGTTATTTAGAAAAGATTACTTCATGTTTGTGAAAGAAACCTTAATTTTTCAATATTAGCAATTTGCTCGATCTGCTAGACCAAAACAAGATTCTAAAGAAGGAAAAAGAAAGTGTTAAAAATTAATGAAGGTAAGTGTGGATATAGCATATTCAAAGGACAAGACTTTCTTGAGATAAACTTAAGGAAGGATAAAAGCCTGATAGAATAATAATTTGGGTATCTCCTGAGGTTTGTAAAAGATTGATCCATCCATCCATCCATCCCTCCCTCTCTCTCTCTGTCTATGCAGTTAATTCCCATTAAACTTCAAATTGTAACTACAGAATAAAGTCCATTTCTTTGTAAAAATTGAACTTGGAGATGACATTTATAAAGAGAATGTATGTTTGTTAGTTTTTATTTACTTTTTCTGTCTAGAGTAAAGCAGTGATTCTTAAACTTTAACATATATTATAATCACCTGGAGGGCTTGAAAAAACAGATTGCTAGGCTTCCCCCTACTCTCACCCAGAGTTTGTGATTCAGTAGGTCTGGACTGGAGACCTTGGGTAACCAGCTATCCCAGTTTTCCTAGGAGGGGTTTTCTGGGACACTGGACTTTCAGTGTCTGCCAAGCCAGGACAAGTTGGTTACCCTTGTTGGCATCTGAGAATTTGCTTTGCTAATTACTAATTGTACACTTCACAGAAGTATATACATATTGTTTTGTGGAATGAAATATTTTACCTTTCAAATATGTAATTTTAATGCGTACTTAAGTAATTTAACGATTAAAAATGGTAGATTTAAGCACTTTAAACTCTAAAGTTTATCTCACAGTGTTTGATTTAAGAAAGATGACTGAAAATGTATTTCTTTTGTCGTTTATTTTAAATCTTTCTGCCTTTGTAAACTGGAAGAACATGAAGTAAATGGGTCAGAGTTACTGCTGTTAAGCTGAAAAAAAATCATATAACTAAATAAGAGAAGTTTGCTTAATATTTATTCCTTTTGGGAGATGCCATGAACATTTGAATTTTGTTGTATCTATACTGGTGTAGTCAGAAGTTTTACAGGTACCTTAGAAGAATAGTTAAAAATAAACGATTTTCAGTGTGTGTTTAAAAAAAATTTATTTGCAAATCTAATGTGAAAAATAAGAAAAAAAATTAAACTGCGTTCTGCTGTTCTTCTTTAGAAGCATTCCTGCGTAAATACTGCTGTAATACTGTCATACAAAGTGTATCCTTTCTTGTATCCTTTTTGGGGCAGTGTTTTCTGTTTTTCCTAGAAATGTTTTGTCCCTCCCCCACCCATTGATCTAGATTAAACAATAATTTTTTACAATTTTTTGAAATGAAATATTTTTAAAATTATCTGTTGATTGAACAAATATTTTATGTATTTTTAAAGATTAGTTGCTGACTTTTCTATGCAGTGCTTTAGATTATGTAAATTTTCCAAGGAAAGTTAGTGAATCAGGTCAACTTACTTGAAGAATGTAAACATTTGCTTTGACACAGAATTTAGTCTTGTTTTTTTCTATTTATGTATTTTCTAAACCTAATTCAGTAACACGTAATTTCTGTTTTATGATGTATCTGGTTAGGTGTTCTATATAACGTGTTGTAAAATTTGATTGGGGAAACAGTTTTTTCTTTTTGAAAAGTACGTATATTGAAAATTTAAATAGCTGGTTTTCTTTGTGAATTCCAAGTAAGAGTAAGCAGACCTTACTTCTGAGGTCGTCTTATTGAAATCTCCTTTGAGATATATAGCAAGTAGAAGTATCTTCTTTCCTTTCTTTTTCTAAACAAAAGGAATAAGAAATAAATAACAGAGGGGAGAAGACATAATGTTGACTCAGTATAGCACATTAAGTGAAAAGAAACAATCCTGGTAGGTATGTAAGAACAGTGGTTTCCAGACTAGTTGATGCCCAGAACCACCCAGAGCAGTGGTTCCCTATCTTGGCTGCACATTAGAAAGACCTATGGAACTTTTAGAGAGATACTGATTTTTAAAAAAAGAAAGCTAAAAAAATATACTGATGCCTGGGTTCCTTCCCCGGAGTTTTGATTTAATTGGTCTGGAGTATAACAGAGATACTAGAATTTTTGAAACCTCTGAAAGTTTTGATTTTCATGTGCAATCAAGGTTGAGGACCATCGAGGAAGGACTTTTATGCATACATTCCTGAACTCTATCCTGGAACTAGTAAATCAGAATCTCTGGGAGTGGTACCAAGAATCTAATTTGAACAGATTTCCTTGGTAGTTCTAAGGACTGACCAGTTTGGATACTGCTTTGTTAGATTAAAATGGTTAGGTGCCTAATACTAGCCTAGCCATCTAACCTTTTATATAAATAGGAAAATAAGGTGTTGGAGGCTCTGCATTTCTTTCTTGAAAATCCTGCTATTAATAGTCCTATGGAAACATTTCAAAATTCTGTTAATTGGTATCACCCTGAGAGTACAAAAAGTTATAGATATTGAAATTGCTGCTGTTTTTTCCTATAGGCACTGTTAAAATTTTTATTTTTTAATGTTGTAAATTACAGTTTCTGCATAAGCTGTTTACTTAGACGATTAAAATTTTGTACTGACATGATTCACTAATTTTCTAAATATGAATGTTTTAGCTTTTAGTTGCTTTAAATTAACTGTTTTATATAATCATGCTTATTTTTAATGAACTTTTATGATGTTTTAGGTTCCTTTTGAATTTCATATCTTTCAAGTGCTTTCCAACTTTGAGGAGATAAAAATGACCACCTGGACTATGGAACTGTGCGTAACAGCTTTTAAAGTGTATTTAAAAATTAAATCTATATGCATTTAAATCAGTTTATTGGAGATATATTACATGTATTTTAATCATCTCATATATAATAAATTATTTTCTTTCCAATAAAATAATGTTCCTAACTTTTCTTTATTGTTGTTTTATACATCTAGAAAAGTATAACTTGATAATTACATAGATTTTTTTATTAAGGTAATTTTATAATGCTAAATATAAATTTCCTTTATGATTACAAGTACTCCTCTTTTTTCAGTCTTATCTGGATACCAACGCAGTTGCTTATGTACTTTTTTAAATAGTAATCTTACGGCTTCTGATTATGTTAGGAGTGGTTTTGTTTGAGTTTTGTTTTTTTTGTTTTGTGTGTTTAACAGTGGAGGATTTTTCTCAGTTTAGGGAATTTGTATCCTTGCTCTAATTTAATCTTCCATTTTTGTGCCCTTAAATCTTTCAAAATATCACTCAAAGGTGTAAATATTTTCCATATAAAATTATTCTGTTCTCTTAGTGAAATTAGTTTCAGCTGTATGTAAGCAGGAACATTTTGATGTATTTTGTTTAATTTATTCTTATTGATATTCTCCTATGAGTATGTAATAACAGCTTCCCCTTAGAGTCACTGCCCAAAGACGTGGGTCTTTGTTGGAATGCTGTTGTAAGTCACAACTTCCCATCTTTTACTCTTAGCATTGTGAAATAAGGACAATGAGAGTTTTAAAGATAGGAATTAGAAGTATGGAGAAGTGAACCCTAGAACATGCTAATGTTTATAGATGTCAAGTAGGTAAGGAGCCATTAAAGAAAACTGAGGAGGAATAGGTAGAAGCCAAAAGAAGAAAAGATCTCAAGTTGGAAGAGGTGATCAGATATGTCTGCTCTGTTGATGATGCAAGAAAGATGAGTTCTGAGGATTGAACATTGGATTTAGCAACATTTGTGACCTTGACTTTGACCAACTGATCTGATGATGGAAAGAATGAAAGGAGGTATTCAAGAGAATAGTAAAGAGGAATTTAATGTAGTGAGAATTGAAGACAGCTCTGTTAAGGAATATTGCTCTCAAGGGGAATAGAGAAATGGGCTGTTAATGCAAGAGGGTATAGAATCAAGAAGGTTTTTGTTTTTACTTTGTTTGGTCTTATAAAGATTGAGGATAGAGCAGGTTTGTATGCTAATAGAACTAATATCCAGTAGAGAAAAAAAGCACATGATACAGGAAGGAGAGGGATATTACTGGAGCCATACATTGGTGTCCAAATAAAAGGATTAGTTTTAAAGATGTACATGCATATAGCTCATTAGTAGCAATAGGAGGAGGGCTGATTGTGTAGGTCTAGAGATTCATAGTTTGGAATATATAGTAGGAGAATGTTAAAAGTTTTGTTATATATTCTTAGTGAAATAGGAAGCAAGGTCATAAAGAAGAGGGAAAAGTGTTGGATTGAGGAAAGAAAAGAAGGTGTAAAATAGACATTTAGGAAAGTGGAAGAGTGAATAGACTCTTAGAAGGATTACTAGACAGTACTTAAAGTGCCCACTTCAAGTCCATGGTTGTTAATTTAAGTGAGACCAGTCAACATGGTTTTGTGTTTTTCTCCAGTTATGTTTAGCCTTGGTACTATCACTGAGTCGACACAGAGTCAAATTTAACCAGAGTTGGAATTTTCCTAGATGAATACAACAAAGAGGGGAAAGGAAGAGGTGTTGTTGGTATATTCAGGGGAATGATTATAAAGGAGTGACATGGAAAGAAATCTGGGTAAAAAGCAAAGTGAGAAAATGAAGGACGTTGAGACAGTGGAGAAATGATATGATCAACTGTAGATTGCAGTATGGTTAAAGATGAGTTGCAGTTATTTACTAGAAGTAGGAACTAGAGATTTGGGAGGTTGAAATAAGACGGTAAGGTGACAAATTGACAATATTAGAGAGAGTACAGTAACAAGTGACTAAGTCCTAGGATATGAACATGATACTTGAGTGAAAGAGAGGTCATGGAAAGAGATGAACTCAAGAAATTGAGAAACTCGGGTATTGAAAGGATCGTCTAAGTGGATTTTGAAATGATCAAGAATTATGACAGGAGTAGTGAGCCAATAGCTAATTATTAGGTGTGCAAAAACACAATGTTTTTAAAAATCGACAGATAAAACTCTGAGTCCCCATGCTGTCACAGTGACAGGAAATGCAGCCTAAATAGTTTACTGAGAAACGGTGTATTATAGTGGTTTTACCAGGTATAGGTTCTAGATTCAAGTCTTGTGTCTATGGCTTAATTGCTTTATGGACTTGGACAAGTTCTTTACTTCTCTATCAGTTTCCATGAAGATAATAATAATAGCTACCTTAGGTTTGTTATAAAGATGATTTGATGAATATAAAATACTTAAAACAAGTCTGTGTATGTGTGTGTGTATATATATAAAAAATCAAGTTCTCAGTAACCATTAAGCATTAGCTCTTGTGGTGGTTTTCAACTCACCTCAGTCCCCAAGGTGATGTAAAGATTCTGAGGTCTTAGAAAAAACTTGAGTCATCTTATCACCTTGATTATGACTGAGATGCTCGGCGCTTCTATTGCTTCATTGCCGCACTTGAAGTATGAGACTATTTGACAAATTTAGGAACTTTGGTGTCTAGGAATTAACCTCTTTATGGATGATGTGCAACCATCCCAACCTCATGCCGACTTCATAAATTGAGCGTATGACCTAAGTGAGTTCAATTAGAAGGGTTTCCTGGGCTTGTACAGAAATTTTTTTGTTTTTGTTTTTTTTTCCTGGGTGGAGCTGTATTTGGAGCTGGTAATCATTATCCTGACAGTTATCATGATGATAGCTCATTATGATCCATGAGTTAAAGAAAAGAGTCATGGAGATGGAGTACTGATAATTTGAGCCTATAGTAAAAGCAGCCCTAACAGCTGTCTATCATTGAATTTTTCAGTTACTTTAAACAATAAAGTACTTATTTCCTTTTTATTTTGCTGGAGGGATTTGGCACTAACTGGCCAAATGTGGGTCAAATATGTCACCCCTGAGGTGAGGAGTGAAGTTTTATATAAACTACATGACATGAGGGTTGAGAAAGGGCTTGTTCTCTAAAGGAAAAGCATAGCGCTGTAAAATCAAGAGAGAAACTAGGTACTTGGCAGCCAAAAACAAGTGTTTTACTACAATATACAATATGTAAAACTCTTCTTGCCATGTGGTGCTTTTCCATTTATGCCTTCTACAAGGGCTGGACTAATTTAAGGCGAGTAAGGCACCTAGGGTGGAAAATTTAAGGAGACACTCAGAGTAATGCAAATGCTCCTCACTTCAGTCCAATCATGGCTCTGGTTCCTACTTTTAGTAACATTAACAGAATCAGCATAATCCTAATTAGATAAATCCAAACAAAAGGGAGTAGCATTCAAATTGCTATTTTAGAGGATTTTGAAAGTATTTGTTGTGCAAATGAGACTCTTCCAAAATCAATATTGAGAGATATTAAGTGTTTGAACAGAAAGGAAAGGAATCAGTATCTATTAGGCACCTGGTATTATTATAAGTATCATAAGTGGTATATCGGTGCTGTGTCATAATTTAAAAGGTTAAAATTTCTTCTGTGTAATCAAATACCATTTTTTATTTCTAATTGATATATATATATTCTTCAAATATGAAACTTTTAAGAGCTTAGAAAAATATATACACAAAATACTATTATGTAATATTCATGAAGATATTGAATATCTTCCTTTGGAAGAAAAGATGGAAGGGAACAAGATTGAGGTTTGAGTGGGTAGCACTGTATATATTGTATTTTTCTTTAAATAAGATATTTGAAGAATATTTTTAGAAAATGTTAACATCTGTTAAATATGGGCCTTGGGACATGGGGTCTGTTTTTTATATATATATATATATATATTTTTTTTTTTTTCCTAAATGACAAATATATTACAACTTAAATGAAAATAAAATAGTGGAACATCTCTAATTGAATGTTTCTCAGCCATTTCTTCATTATTCACCCCTCTACCAAAGGAGCATTTTTAGACGTTTTTATCCATAATCACCGCACATGAAATTTTAATACCACAATGTACTATGTCTGTTTCTAAACTATATCTGTATCTGTCTTTGTGTGCAAAAAGATTTTTCTTCCCACCCCCCCACCCCCCAGGTAAGCAACAGTGACTCATTTGGAAGACATGATTCTGTACCACAAAACATTAACAAATTCAAAACCTTAACAAATCACACAAAGTATATTCTCTGACCTTAGCTGAATTAAACTAGATATCAGTAACAGAAAAAAATGAAAAATCTTCACATTTTTGGATATTAAAAAATAGATTTCTAAATAATATATGGGTCAAAAGAGAATTCTTGAGAAATTAGAAAATGTTTGAATTGAAGGAAAATGTAAATAGAACAACATAATTTATGGGATACAACTAAAGGAGTGTTTAAACGGAATTTGCTTATATTAGAAAAAGAAAAATCAGAGATTGATGATTTAACCTTCCGCGTTAAGGAACTAGGAAAAGAAGAGCAAATCCAGAGCAAGCAGAAAAAGGAAATAATAAAAATAAGCATAGATCAGTGAACTTGTAAACAGAAAACAATAGCAAATATTATAAACAAACCTAGTTTCTAAAAAAGATCAGTAAAATTGAAAACGTTCTAGCCAGACTGCAAAGAAAAAAGGAGTCTCCCCAAATTGTAAGACGATCAGATTGAAATGTTTTGAACAAATTTGTTGCCATAAATTTGACAACTTAGATGAAATGAGCCAATTTCTTGAAAGTGACAAACTACCAAAGGTTATTTGAGAAGTAGATAACCTCAGCAATCCTATATCTATTTAATAAATATACTTTGTACTTAAAAATCTTCTGCAAATAAAATTTAAGGCCTAAATAGCTTCACTAGTAAATTCTGCCAAAAATTAAATGAAGAAACCAACAATTCTATACAAGAATTATAAAAGCTAGTATTATAATAGTGACTTGTACCTACACTTGTTTTCTACCTGGTTTAAGAGACTAATACATTTTAAAAATCAGCTTATAAGCTAATATTATTGTAACTGGTTTGTAACTCCTCATGTTTTCTACATA